CAAAGTGAATAAGAGAATGCAGAAAAGAGGTCACCATTTACCAGCTTCTGTTTTGAGGCCAGTATTATGCTACTACTAAAATCAGACAAATCTGACATCTAAAAAAGAAAACAACAGATCACTACCTCTCATGATGAAAAATTCCTCAATACGATATTAGCAAACCTAATTCAACACATTACAAAAAGAATTACACACATTGCCAACTGGGGTTTATTCCAATTCTGCAAGGCTAGTTCAACATCGGAAAACGATTCATATGAACCATCATACCAACGAGCTAAAGAAAAACTGACACCATCTAGTACTTATTCATGTTTTTAAAAATATTAGCAAGTTAATGCTCGTTGGAAATGACTTCCACTTGGAACAGACCATCTACAACTAAGGTCATGCTCAATGGTGACACTGAGTGCTTTTCCCTAGGACTGCAAAGAAGCAAGGATTCTCTCTTCTTATTCTACAGCGCTCTACAGGTTCTAGGTGGTGAAACAAGGAAAGGAGGAGGAGGAGGCAGGGGAGGAGGGGGAGGAGAGAGAGGGGAAGAGAAAGAAGAGGAGGAAAAGGGGACCGAAAAGTACACATCTATGAGAAGGGAAAATGGCACAATCTCTCCCTCCCTCTCTGCCTTTCCCTACTATCCCAAGGAAGACTGGGCTGTACCTCAGTAGAACAGACTATGTCTAGCGTGCGTGAAGACATGAGTTCAATCCCCAGCGCCTAAAGTAAGATAACAAGATAAAATAACCTCAATGAATCTACAGGAAAAATAACTCCCAGAACTACGAGAGTTCAGTAAGGCCATGGGATACAAGAACAGCTCCAAGAACCGACGGTGTGTCTGCGTGCTGTGAACATGTGGATACTAACATAAAATCACTGGGGTCACCGTGTGAGGTCGTCCCAACAACATGAAACATCGGAACACAGCATGCACACAACCCAGCGTCGGGAAAAGGCAACGTTCTGAAGAAAGAAGGCCAAATGTCCTAATAGACAAACGGACCCTGTTTTATAGATCAGAAGGCAAAGACGGTTTGTAGGCTCTGTGTAACTCCTGTCAAAACCCCAGCAGGGTTTGTTTTATTTATTTATTGTTATTATTATTATTATTATTTTTTGGTACCGGGATTGGACTCGGGTCCTTGCACTTGCAAGGCAGGCCACCGAACCGAACCGCTGAGCTAAATCCCCGGCCCCAGGTTTATTTATTTTAGAACTGATGTAGAGAGAGACAAAGGCTCTGGAATGGCTAACACGATCCTGTAAGAGAAGAAGAGAGCACAAGAACCCTGTCCTCCCTACTTAGGTTTCCCGTCGCGGGCACCAAAATGAGGGCCACGTGGTGGTAGCGGAAAGACAGACACACAGATCCATAAAGCAAAGCGGGAGACTCGGAAGTAGGTTGCTATAAACGTTTATTTCCGAGCGGCTTTGGCAGAGGAGTACAGCGGTGCAGCGGGGGACAGAGACGGCCACTCGGCTGGACATCCACGACATCATCGAGAACACAGCTGACACAAGACTCAGGGTGCATCACGGAACCAAACAAGAACACGAAACCATAGGACTTTTAGAAATAGAGGCAGAATTCTCTGGGGAGCTAGAACTACACAGTTTCAGCTCGGCACTAGTAAGCCTGACCTATAAAGGAAGCCCCTATTGATTGGTCCTCCCCAAAACGGGACCTTGTCCCTCTGGGAAACCAGAGGTGAAGGTGGAAAACAACTGCAGGCTGGGAAAAAACAAACAAACAAACAAACAAACAGGCACAAAGTGCCATCGGGCCAATGGTGGAGTCTAGAATATAGAAAGAATCCTCAAAACGCAACGCAGAAAACAACCTCCTTAGAAAACAAACAACAGACACGGGAGACGTTCTGTTGAGAGATGGGAGCACACTGGCCCTTGGGGAAACCAAAGCTAAAATTACGATATCACTGGTGCGGATCAGAGAGGCTGAGCAGCAATCGTGATGACTCCAGGTGCTGCTGAGGACCCTGGAAACGCCACCTCTCGAGCCTTGGTGGCCGGAATGTGGAGTGCTGCAGCTACTCTGAAAAACCTTGGGCTGGTTTCTTTTTTTCGTTTTTGTTTTGGTTTTTCTTGGTACCAGGGATCGAACCCAGGTCCTTGTGTTTGTGAGGCAGGCGCCGGAACTACTGAGCTAAATGCCCGGCCCATGGGCTGGTTTCTTAAAAAATCAAATTATTCAGCTATCATGTCAGCTGCTAACCGCCCTCCCAGGCCTTTCTCCAGCAGAAACAAAAACATCCACACAAGAGCTGGTTTCCGATTGTCCAGGACAGCTTTATTTGCAATTGCCCAAGCTACATCAGCCCAGGTATTCCTCATCGGGAGAATGGCTGGCCAAACTCATACACCTGCACCATGGAACACAAACTCACAAAAAGGAACAAACTATCAACACACTTAATTTGGATGACTCTCCAGGGAGTTACTCGGAGCAGAAAACTCTGTGAATCCTCAGAACAATCCCGCAGACCCACGACCTTACTTAGCCCTCCAGAAAGAGCTCCTGAGTGAGTTCATGGGTGTGGACAGAAGTGTCGGCCTCCTGGTCCTTTTTTTTTCGTACCGGGTATGGAACTCAGAACCTTAAGCTTGGGAGGCAGGCGGCAGAACCACTAAGCTAAATCCCTGGCCCTTCCTGGTCCTTTTTGCAATTGGAAATTGTGTTGACAAGATAAATGTGGCATCTCGGGGCGTGACAGGAAATAATACAGAGGGGTGGACACTGCCGAGTTTTCCCCAGTGATAACATTTTACAAGTTCTGTAGGGCTGGGAATTTAGCTCAGCGGTTCGGTGGCCTGCCTTGCAAGCGCAAGGACCCGAGTTCAATCCCCGGTACCAAAACAAACAAAAAAACCAAAAAAACATTTTGCAAGTCTGCACAGTATCACTACCATGATGCTGACGTGGACGCCGGTCAGCTTGGGCCCGGCTCTCCTTCCCCGGCCCCAGGACTCAGTCCCCGTCCTCTCCCAGAGCTGGAGGCCGGCACCAGGGTGCACACCTGTAGAAAGGCCATGGTTACACAATTCACAGCGCAGCACGCCCACATGGGGAACATGCATTTCCGCAGCCCCATCCACTGGGGCCCCACACTGCGCTGTCTGTGTCCCGTATCCCTGCACTGGACATGAAGAAAGAGGACACAGCCGGCAGCCGGCATCCTCGGGTTTGGGCGGAAGCCCTGGTAACAAGACGCAGAGCAGCAGGTCAGCTCTCACGGCCATTGTGGTGCTGAAGTTGGGACCAAGGTTGACTAAATACTTTTCTTCAAGCAGACTATAATGCTGTTAGAACTTCTGTAATTCATTCTTCTTAAAATCTTAGATAAAGCCCTCTCCGATGTTATAGTGAGCGAGAGAGGAGAGAGACAGAGAGACAGACATCAAGACCTCTGCTCCTGGTGCGTCCTGGACGGCGAGGTGCTGGGAGCTCTGTCCGTCCACCAGCCCAGGAAGCGCCTGTCTGCACCCTCTTCCAGCTGCATCTCCGGAGGCGGCTGCAGGTCAGGAGTGCTAAGAAGGCCTCCGCGGGCCTCCACGGAGTCTGCAGCTCCTCCATGGAAACCAAACATTTCCTTGGGAAGAAGCTCATCGGGACGGAACCACAGCCAGGTCTCAGACGGCTTCCAACAGGTGATGCGAGGCCCCTTGCAGCTCCAACGCCAAAGCGTCCGGCTCCCCGTGCAGCCTTCACTCCTCCTGGTACAGCCCTGCCCTGACGCATGCCTCCCTTCTCTGGCCCAGAGTCCTCTCCAACGGAAGAGATGGGCCCGTGGCCACCACAGCCTGTCCCCGCCCCTCCCGCCCCTTTCTCCCTGTGCCTCGTGGCCAGGGTGAGGTGAGCCGCTTTCCATGCCACAGGAGGAGCAACAGTGGAGCCAGCTAAGCATGGACCGAATCCTGGGAAGCCGTTCCTCGCATCCAGTCCCTTACCCAGATGCAGTGTCACCGCGACCGGAAGTTAGCACAGCGCCAGTCATGAAAACACTGGACCATTATGAAAATGAAACAGGCAAACACAAAAGGGGCACGGAACATACTGCTTCACTGCCGGCACACATCACAGGGCATCGAACATTTCCAAACCAAAAAAGACTCCGTGGTAATTAGAGAAGGAAAAGCCACAGTGGGCCAGACGCATACATCTGCTGACACCAAGGCCCATTTTCTCTGGGGAGATGACCGCATGGGAAACCTTTCCTCTTCCCATGGGCTGGATATGTCATCTGTGAGCTTGTGTTCCTTCTAAACACAGCTGGGCAGCAACACTTGGAATAAAAACGGCCTTAACATTTTCCTGTTTGAGTGGTTGCCCTTATCTGGGGTTTCACTTACGCCCGTCAACTGCGGCCCAAAATTATTCAGTGGAAAATTCCAGAAATAAACAATTTATAAACTTTGAGCGACCCGCTCTCCGTTCAGCGTGGTGGGGTGGAATTTCACCGCTCCCTGCACCCCGCCCAGGATGTGACTCATCCGGGGGCCACCGTGTCCACCCTGGATAACGCCAGCAGCATGTTCGTCACCGGCGGTCACCGCGGTTATCAGATGGAATTGCTGGCAGCCAGGGCCAGGTAGGCGAGCTGGACCCACACTGTCACATACGCCCGAGAAGCCTCTGTGTGCTGCCCTTAGGTGAGGGTGGAGACAGGGTTCCCGAGAAGCCGCAGTGGCCCTGCTCTTGATATGGAGCACTGGGACGGAGGCTCTGCCTTAGGGTTCATTATCTCGCCCGTCTCTTCCAGCTCTCGGTTTATAAATTAAACTTCATTCTGGGTGATGTCTGCGGATGCAGGCATCACTGGGGGCCCGCAGAGTCCCCCACCCCGATCCGTGTCCTGCACTCACGTGGCAGTGCCCAGAAGCGCAGTGGCTGCGTGGCAGCTTGCCCGACCCCATCCTCATCTCCCGCAGTGCCCCCCTCCCCGCCCCCCTCCCTTCCCGGCACCCAGGCCCCTCCCTTCTCCCGAAGCCCGCCGGTTCCGTCCAATCAATTTGTGTCCTGATGATTTAATCGGTGCCAAGTGCCAAGCCACCTCCGGGTTCCCTCCTCTGTCCTCTGTTATCGTGTGACTTGGGGACAGCAGGCAGCTGTGGTGTGGCGCTGCCCTTCAGGTGCGCGGTGGATTGATGAGCACACGCAGAGTGGGGCGGCCCGTGGCCTGGATGGGCTCTGACCTGCTACCCTACTTGCTTTGGTACCAGGCGGGAGGCCCGGGGGTCCTGTTCCACTCCTGCCCACCGGTGGTCTTGGGGCAGGACAGGAGGTCATTCCTCTGGGCGGAGAAACCTGCTCCAGCAGAGTGTGTCACCCCCCCACCCCCCGGTGAGGGCGGGAGGCGCAGTCATGGAGGCCTCCGGAGGGCATGAGCAGCAGCCGTTCCCCGAGTCCGGAGCCCCCGAGAACGGGCTGCTCTTTGGAAACAGGCCAGTGATACACCGAGCACAAGATGCTGCAGGAAGCAAACAGCCTCAGCATGCATCCGCCGCAGACCAAGAACCCGCCACGAAGAGGGCCTTGGAAGGAGGCCTGGGCTGGTCCAGGGCCCACAGTTCAGGGCCGGTGCATCTCGGCCTAGCGGCTGTGCCCGATCTGCTTGCCTGGTTGGGGGCCTCGCGTGACCCCTGCAGATAAAGTGAATGGGAGGGAGGGCAGGGGGCCCGGAGGGGATCCAACATGGCACACACATGTACCGTGTTCCCGACAGACGTCACGGCTCGATGTCCCAAACAGGGACCCGGGAAATTAGCTTTTAGCAAAGCAAAAAACATGTGGGGAAGGCAGCACGTGGAGACGTTCCACTTCAGTCTTGGTGAAAGTCAGGAAGGGGCTTCAAGGTCATCTCAGCCCAAAGCCCCCGGCTGGGCGGCGGGGTCCGGCCGGCAGCTCCCCGACAGCGTGGTCACCCTGCCCAGCTCCAGTCCATGCAGGCATCGGGCTCAGGTAGCAACTCCCCACCTCTTCAAGTCCTCAGGTCCCTCTGAAAGCAAACGCGGAGACGTCACCTGCAAGCCACTCCCAGACGTCACGACGAGCGGGCACCTGCAGGCTACCTGCAACCACCACCACCCCTGGGACAGCGACGGGCCCCTGCAGAGCCGGTCACTGCCCCCAGGGGCCTGCAGAGCTGCCCCGGGGACTGCAGGGAGGTTTGTAAGTCAGATCCGTCCCTAAATCCAACAAAGTGACTCCTGTACTGCTTTGCCACAGGCATCCGGTGCGCGCCTCACCGCGTGCACACACACAATGCACGCTGTTTACCACGCTCCTCCTCCTGCTCCCGGACAGGACAGCGCGGGCTCTGACTGAGCACCGCCTGCCACCCACGATCACGCTGTGCAGTGACACACGGGGCACAGGGGTGAACCTGTCCAGCAGACACGGCAGCTACCTCTGAGATTCGTTTGTAGCTAGGAATATTCATAGTGCGAGGTCCTTCGTATCTGTGACAGTTCACAACCCGAGTGTTTGTAATTCAGGGACTTACTGTACAACACTATGGAGATTGGGGTGGAGAGTCCTCCAAAGCCTGAGACTGGGAACCATGTGACCCAGCCGCTCCCCTCCTCGTGTCTTCCTGACTGAGCTAAAGGCATCACATTACAGTGACACATGCACGACCATGTTTATAGCAGCACCACTCACAACAGCTAAAGCTAGGGAGCGTCCTCTGCGTCCATCAGCACACAATGGACAAAGCAGGCACGGTGGTGTCACACACCGTGGAGTACTACTCTGCCATGAAGTAGGATAAACTGGAGTCATCTGGAGGAAAATGGCTGCCGCTGAGAGCATAGGGTTAGGTGAAATAAATCAGACACAGAAAGCTAAATATTGCTTGATTTCTCTTAGGTGCGAACCTCAAAGAATAAATACAAAAGACAGATAATGGAAACAGGAGATAGATCTGAAAATGAGAATAGAAGCAGGAGACGGAGCGGGGAGCGGGGAAGGGGGCGAATCAGGATGAAGCTGTGGGACACACACGCACCAGCTCCCCGCGAGTGTGATCTGCGCGGACTGCAAACACGGCCGAATGAGCACAAAGCGCAGAGCCACCCATGCCCGACCCTGCACCATCTGAGCAGGGGCTGGGCACCTTCTCAGCGCAGCCAGGGGCTTTGCCTGTGGGATCTCCCGCTTGGCCCTGTGTGTGTCTGTGACTGGCGCCGCGCCCATGTGGCCGCCTGTGGCCCTGGTGGCAGCAGGGAAGTCGCCTGCTCAAACACCCAAATGCTGCCCACTCACAGAGTCAGCCGCCCAGAGCACTGGGAGCTTGAGCTCCTGTCTCAGTCTGGAGGCAGTTTTGGCAGGTCTTAAAGCAGCGCGGCTGCCGAGAGTGGTGGTGCACATCTGTGATCCTAGCACTTGGGAGGCTGAAGCAGGAGGATCACAGCCAGCCTGGACCACTTAGGGAGACCCCGTCTCAAAAATATAAAATAAAAATAAAATAAAGCAGCTTGGTGGTTACCAGAAGCTGGAAAGGAAGAGAAACTGCTCCAAGGGTCCTAGGGATGGGACAAGGAGGATGCTGAATGGGAGAGGCTACACAACATTAATGCCACAAATGCCGCTAAACGGTGCGCTTTAAAATGGTTTGTCTTTGTCACATGATTTTGTGTGTGTGTGTGTGTGTGTGTGTGTGTGGCTTTTTGAGACAGGGTCTCACTATGTCATTGAGACTGACCTGGAACTCACTATGTAGCCCAGGCTGGTCTTGAACTCAGCGACCCTCCTGCCTCAGCCTCCTGAGTGCTGGGATTACAGGCGTGCGCCACAACACCCAGCTTTTTGTCACATGAATTTTAGTTGAGTTGAGAAGGGTAAAGGTCTTTGGCGCTGGTCCAAAGAGCCATAGGAGGCTCTGAGCAAGATTAAGTCAGCAAATATTGGCCAAGCACCCTACAGGCCAAGGCCACATTCCCTGCACCATCACCCTGCACAGGACGCCACTCACCCCACCCGTGGCCCATGTCCTGCGTCACATGGCAGCAGGGCTTGCAACCCCCTTCCCAGGCGTCCCGAGAGTGCAGGTGCCTGGCCCCTCCTGCTCAGAGCCTGTGTGTCGGTCCCAGGCTCCCAGTAAGGGGCAATAGCCTAAGGGAATCCGGGGTCCTCAGCCCCCTATGAGGCCACCCCGTGAGGCTGTGGCCTCTGGGAGCTCTGGGAGGAGCTGGGTCCGTGGCAGTGGGGACTCAGGTGGCCGCACCCACCTCCATCTGCTCGTGGATCCAGTCCAGGAAGGAGGTGACGCGGGTGTAGACCCCGGGCTTGTTTACATCTGCACAGCCAATGCCGAAGCTCGTGGTACCCACCAGCTTCCACAGCCGGCTCTCCTGGCACACCAGGGGCCCGCCGCTGTCTCCCTGGTGAGGAAGGGGTGAGGAGGAGGGCAGGGTGCTGTCCTTGCAGCCAGGGAGGCTGGGTAAACACCGGCCCGGCCCCAGGGAGGACAGCTGTATCTTAAGCACATCTCTTCCTGTGCCAAGTAAATTTGCTTTTCGCACAGTCATGGGGAGCAGCAGCAGTGGTCTGTCCCAGGCTGGGTCCCTGTCCTGCAGCCGCGCCTGCTGTGGCCTCCCTTACCTGGCAGCTGTCCACGCCGCCCTTCAGGTAGCCCGCACACAGCATGGACGGGGAGATGATGCCCCCGTACACGTCCCTGTGGTTGCAGATCTTGTTGGAGAGGAGCGGGACAGCTGCGTGGTTCAGGACGGGGGACGCATCACCTGCAGGGAATGCACGGAGCCATGTGTCTGGGACCTGGTCATGCTGAGGGTGAGGGAGGACCATGGAGAGGTGGAGTCCCAGCCCCACGGTCCTTCCTTCCCCAAAATCTGAGTCTTAGTGTGCAAAGAGCGTGTCACCTCGCTTTTCCAGGGAAGCCCCTCAAATCCCCCCACCCCTGCAGCCCTCAGTGAGGGCCGGCTTGACCCAGACTGAGCGATCAGGGCCGAGAGCCAGTGTGGCTGTGACCAGGGGTGGGTAGGGATGGAACATGGAGCCCAGGCCTGGCACCAGCTGGTCGTGGGAACCTGGGCCCTGGTGCCCTCTCCATGGGGTGGGGGCTGCTGTGAGGCTGAAGGTACCGTGGTGGGCAGAGCTTCCTGTGCAGGGGGAGGAGGAGGTTGGAGCCAAGAGGCCAGCACTATGCAGGAGGGTACCGAGGGTCGACTGGGACGGAGTAGACCCTTGGGGGGTTGAGCTGGTGCTGGGGAACCTGCACCTCTGGAGTGGAAGGGCTCTTCCCCAGGGACCCCTCTTCAGAGTCCAAAGTCGGCAGAGCCGCTCTGGTGGGCAGGGTGACCCCAGGGGAGCATGAGGAGCACAGATTGTTTTCTGGCTCCTCCACGGCCCGGGTCCCAGTTCTGACAGAGCAGGGAGCCTCTGCCCCTCGGTGTTGGAGGGGGCTGGGCCTGGGAAGTGCCCTGGAGCTGGGTGAGGCCTTGCCTTTGGGGAGGAGGGACAGACGCTCACAGGTCTACAAGGGGAAGCACTGGCCCCTGGAGCCGTGACGCATGGTCTTGCTTGGAACAGGGTCTTTGCAGAGTGATGAAAGTGACGCTACAAGGCCAGCTCATCCCGCTTTGGGTGGCCCTAAATCCAATGACTCATGTCCCCACAGACAGAGGAGATGGCGCTCTGAGATCCAGAGACATAAGGGCAGCCTAGGAAGGTGGAGCCTGAGACTCGCTTGACCCCTCTCCAAGCAAGGGACCCCGAGGATGCCTCAGCCGCCAGCCCTGGGGAGGAGCCCAGAGCAGACCCCCCTGGGCCTCCAGAAGGAGCCAGAGCCAGCCATACCATGGCCTCAGACTCAGCTCCAGACCTGCAGGGCAATGTGCTTTATAGTCTCAAGTCTCCCTACAGGAAGCTACTCCTCTTCCGGCCAACTAGGAAGTGGGGGGGTGGGAACCCTAACCCTAACCCTGGCTACCGTCCCTGTGCCTCACCAGTGAGGGGCTTGGGCTTCATCTGCATCTGCTGTAAGCACCCTCAACACCTCCACGCCCATGGTTGCTATAATAACAGGGTTGAGTGGGGGGCTGTTCTTCTGGATCTTTGTAGGAGGAAGTAACAACTTCCAAAGTCCCACAGGCGCACATGCCCTGGTTACCCAGCACAGACTTCTGAATGAAGGGGTGCAGGTTGCACCATGGCATTTAGAGGAGGAAAGAGGTGGAGGAGGGACCCTCGATTCTCGGCTCCTGCTGAGGTCCTGAGACAAGGAGCACACAGGGATGGCTGCGAACAGTTGGCCTGCACCCCGGCTGGACCTCCAGGAACCCATTGGGGACAGCCCGATGAGACTTAGGATAGACCCCTCCCCACCCCAAGGTTCGGGGGTCCTCAGACTACTGACCTCCGTCCTCTGTGGCCCCCCATCCCGATGTCCAGCACATTTTGCCATCAGGAAAGTTCTCCTCCGAGTTGGGCAGGCAGATGGGCTGGGTCATCTCTGTCGGCAGACGGACAGTAAGCACACTCAGCGGGGCAGCCGTCCGACCAGACCACCGGCTGCTGCCTGCGTCTCCCAGGGGGGTGGCGATGGTGGCCATCCACAGGCGACAAGAGGGATGGAAGCCCTGTGAGCAGTCGCCCCCCAAGCAGCCCCACCCTGCACACACCAGCCAGTCCTGAGTGAGCACATGGACGCTTGAGAGAAGCTGAGTCCTTCCCCGGGGAAGGCCCTCCGGGGGGCTGAGGCCAGTGGTCTGGTCGACTGGCACCTTAGATATGCACCACTGATACACACCGTTAGTGGCCGCGCGGGAGCTCCCCCCAGAAGACTAACAAAGAGCGCGAACCTGACACCGGGAACACACATCTCTGAGATGCCCGCTACCCAGTCCTCTCCCGGTGTGCTCTGATCTGAACAAACCCTGTTCTTACTCTGATCTTGGTGAATTCCTTGACCAGCCCGTCACCCCTGCCTATCCAATCCCACCAGGCAAGGGGCACCGACTTTCTCCCGGGGACAGCTCAGGCCTTGGTCACGGAAAACAAGCAGCTCAGAGCAGGGACCCCCGCCCTGCCCTCTGCCCAGGGCCCCTAGGCAGTGCTGCGTGCGTGGGGCAAAGGGCCAGGGAGCCACAGGCTCTGGTGACACACAGTCTCTGCCACTGCCCCTGGCAACGGGCCCGTACTCGGGTGTGACTGGGTTCCAGGAGAATTTTATTCATCAAACTGGGCCACGGGTCAGGTCTGGCCTGTGGGCCCTGCCTGGTGTGTCCTCTGCCTCAGGGAATATCCATCCTCAGAGGTCCCTGGTCAGCAAAGTCCACCACTGGCACCACACTTTCTGCGGACAAAGACTATGAACGCCGTTCCCCAGTGGTACCCACAGCAAGGTCCGCCTAGTGAAGTTTCCCCCACGATGAGCCCACTCATGCCCGCTCATGCTGCTCTGTGCCACCAGATTCTGCCCTGAAGAAGGGACCCCTGCCCAGCCGCCAGGTGCCTGGAGTCCTTGGGAAGGCACTGAGTTACATTAGCACTGGAGCCCAGGCAGACCCACAGACTGGAGCTAAAGGAAGTGTGCGTACTAACACAAAAACCCGCTGTGAGACTCCCCGTAGCCCGCCAAACTGTCCAGGTACAACTGGAAACGCTTCTCATCCCAAGAACCAGGACAATTACTGCTTTTTGTTTTGTACCAGGGGTGGAACTCAGGACCTTGCAATTGCAAGGCAGGCGGCAGAACCACTGCGCTAAATCCCCAGCCCTATCACAGCTTTAATGACAAGCGTGCTCAATAGACACCAGCACCCACATGAACCAGATGCGGCTTTCCGATAAGGGTGAAGCAGCAGCCATAAAAATGCTGCCACACACAATCACAAACCCTCCTGAAACAAATGTAAAGCCACTCAACAACCCAGAGATGTACCGTCGAAGGTGAGGGGGCCGGCCAGCTTCATGAGGGCGATGTCGTTGCCCAGCCGCTTTGGCTTGTATTTGCTGTGGTAGATGATTTTCTCCACCAGGTGGGAGGGTGCTGGGCTGTCCAGCAGGGAAACCAGGCCCGCTTGGATGGTCCAGGACTTGGGGAGGTACAGGCTGAAATGGACAGGCCAGGAGGTGAAGCCGAGGATGAAGCCAGCCATGGGGCCACTGGCACCACCCCATCCAACAGCCACCCAAAGGAGAGGGCAAAAGTAACAGGCACCACCATGCCTAGGGGCCTTCTCACCCCGACACCCCTAAAAGAGACTGCTTTGGGGGACGTGGGGCCTCCACGAGCTTTCACCCCACTGCACACTGCACGGCCTCATCAGATTTCAGCCTAGCATGGTCCATGGCATGCAGTTAGCCAGAGGCCCGGGCCTCATGTCTGTTTCCTGTCTCCCCAACCCTGTGTGAGCCTCGGTCCCGCTCACCCCGCGTGGAGATGGGGCAGAGAACAGGGTGACTCCGTCTGCCTGGCTTCTGGCCCTGCTCACACCCACCCGGCCCAGGTCTGGCCAGGGCCTTGAAGCCAGGAGCCCCCCAGGCGCACACTCACTCGTAAACACAATGCGCGGCGGTGACGATCCACCGGGGCGTGATGACCGAGCCCCCGCACAGGTGGTGGCCCTGGAACTGCAGGCTGACCTGCCAGGGCCACTGCGCCGGCGCAGACGCATTCCCTCCCACGATGCGCGGGCTGTAGCCCGTCCTCAGCCCGCAGGCTGCCAAGAGAGGACAGGGTGTGCGGGAGACTGCGGGCTTTCCACACTGCTCCCACAACTCTGCAGCCCCCACCCAGGACCAAAGGAGCCTGAGGACAGGCCCCGGATGCTGACCAGCCAGGCGCTGGAGCCCACGCTCTTCCTGACTCCTGGGACCCCAAAGAACCAAACCGCCATTGCCCTCGGTCATCAGCACCTATGTGACAGTGCCCCCCACGTCCAGTGTCTGGTAATGACAGCACCCAGGACATCAGACTACTCCCAGCCACAGTCCCCTGTACACTGCTGTGGGTGCTGGTGGCACTGCCCCTCCCCTGCCTTCTCCAGACCCTGTCCCTGCAAGGATAGCCCTCCCCTCTGCTGGAAGCAAGAGGCAGCTGTCCCCAAAGAGACGAGGACCGAAAGAGAAAGGGACAAGGAGCCAGCTCCTGGAGGCTGTGCATAGGGACAGGACGTCTAGGGCCGTGGTCCTCTCTTCTGCTAAGAAGTCGCCCACCTGGGCCAGCTCCCCACCTGACGGGTGAGGCCAGCAAGGCCTCCTCCTCCTCTGCTCCTGTCTGGCACCCAGAAGCAAAGGGCTCAGAGCCCACCTCTGAGAACAGGCAGAGGAGGCTGGCAAGTGCCAGCTTCCCGTTTGCCTGTCTGTCCAGAAGGCTCACCCGTGCACTTCAGCGTGACCACATGGCCTGAGGCGCATCCCTCCCTAAAGTGGAGAAACCACAGACATCACAGAAAATAGAAGGTGTGATAGCAAAATACAGCAAACGTTCATATTTAAAACTTCTATTACAGCCCGCCTGGCAAGTGCGAGGTCCTGAGTTCGATCCCCGGTACCAAAAATAAATAAATAAATGCATGCATACATATACATACATACATGCATACATAATACATACATACATACGTACATACATACATACATACATACATGCTTTATTATAGTAAAAGACACGCTGCCGTGAATCCCCTGTAACATCTTTCCCTTCTGTTCAAACACCCTCCTCCCTCGTCCCGGCCCCTTCCTGCAGCCGCTCTGGAGCCCTCTTTCCTGCGCTGTCCCAGCTGCCTCCATGTCCTGAGTGGAATCACAGTGCTTCCCTGTCCTGGTCATTTTGACTCTGGGGAGGAGCCGGGAGTCACACGGTACCAGACCCAATGAGTAAGGAGGATGAGGTCACAGCGTCCTGTTCTCACAATCTGACTTTCTGCTGGGCGGCGCTCGGCAGCAGCAGTCACCTTAGTTTTGATCACACCTCACAGACCTCAGGAGAGAGGACTCCAGAGCCGCTGCAGGAAGTGGCCAGGACCGGGGAGGAGTGTGCTCGAAGGCAGGGGGATTCTGAAGGGATTCACGGCACTGTGCGCTTTACGGTAATGAATTTTTTATTTAAACATTCACCATGTAGTTTGGTCTCGGCTTGTATCCAAGGCCTACAGAATGAATGCTTTTCTCCTTTTACTGCGTCTTGCGAATGAAGAGGAATAAGCTTCTCCCCTTGTTGCTGGCCTGTACTCACCTCACGTACACAGCGTGGTGCAGCGCGGTCACCTTGGCGTCCGGCAGGAGGTGGTTGATGGACACGAAGGCCCCCTGGAACTGCGGCTCCAGCTGGTCCACTCTGAGGTCACCGGAGCCGACATGGCTGCACGCACGCCCGACACAGACCCCACGGGGGACCCTGAGCCCTGCACCCTCCCCTGACCAGGGCTCAGGTCACAAAGCTACAGGCGCCAGCTTGGGGACCTCGTCTGCCCACCCACGCTGTCAAAGGCTCCTTCGGCAGACAGAATAACGGGTGCCCGGCCCGGCAGGGTCTGACCCTTCCTGGGGCCGAGGCGAGGTGTGTGGTTCCCCTTTCACGGCTGTGGTGGCGGGACCGGCCCTTGCTTGGCTGGAAGCAGGAGGGGGGAGCCGCATGCAAACTAGGGGTGGCATTGTCACCGGGATGCCACGCACCCCAGAAGGAGGGGTTGGCGGCACTAGAACCCTCCCCGTCTGCCCAAAGAGAGGAAATTGTGGGAGGCAATGACCCTGGGGCCCTGGGACCAGGCAAGTGTGAAAAGCGTAGGAAACCATGCCAAGGAGGTCCAGCTTTGGAAACGTCAACGGCAGAGGGGAGTTCATGGTTACATGTCTTTTACTATACATTTTTAAATGTAAGTATTCACTGTATTTCTTGATTAGCCCACGTGTGCAGCAGAAAGCTGGCCAGGCAGAGACAAAAATCGGAGAGACTGGCTGGCCCCGGTCCAAGAAGAGCACACCACAGGGCCACCGCTAGGCGGGGAGGACTGGGTCACCACGGGCTGGTGCTCCTGTCCTGGACTGGGGGCAATGAGCTGGGCTCCTGGGGTGTGGGTGGAGCCATGGCCCAGAGGGAGGGGAGCGGAGGGCCTACAGCAGGCCTCTGAAAGTGGGGTAGGGGGCATGAGGAGGGTGGCCTCGGGGACACAAGCTGGGGGACATCCCAAGGCCCTTGGCTTTGCATCAGACTTCACAGCCACGACTCTGGGGGACTCTGACAAGCTGCTCCTGGGACACACAGGATGTACATCCGGGGCCACTGTGGTAGCTTTGCTCTGGCCCCAAGGTGGCCTGGGAACCTGGGAGCTGCCTGCCAGGGGTGCTGAGGATCAAGGGCAAAGACAGCGAGGCCAACGGCACCCACTGAGGCTCGGGAGCCCCAGGGGAACCAGCAGGAGGCGGAGCCTGTGACCGGATGGAAATGTGTCACCCTGAAGCCCAAAGTGACGCAGGCAAGGCCAACGGGGGAGCGGCAAATCCTGGAATATGGTTTTGCTTCCACACGTTGCTCAACAGCATTTTTTAATGATTATGCTTTTACGGAATCGCTGGCCTTAAGAACCTGGTTCAAACAGGTGTGGGGGTGCACACCTGTGATCTCAGCACTCTGGGAGGCTGAGGCAGGAGGATGGCAGGTTTGAGCCCAGCCTGGGTGACTTAGAAAGACCCTGCCTCAAAAAGGAAAAAGTGGGTCCTAGGGGTATAATTTCAACATGAAGGCCCTGGGTTTGGTCCCCAGTATTACAATAAAGAAAGAAGGGAGGGGAGGGGAGGATAAAACCTGGTTCTTTGGGACCCTCAGGGAAGCAAGGCCCCCAGGATCAGTGTGAAGTGTCCAGGACTCTGCAGTGAGCACCTGCTCGAGTTCCCTGGCCTGTCTGGGCCTCGGTTTCCCCCGGTATGGTGCCTGTGCCCCGCTTACCTGGGGAAGCCCAGCTGAGCACAGGCCACGCTGGCATAGGACCCCTTCCAGTCGTCCGTGCACAGGGTCCTCCAGGCTGCAGCCACGAACACCTGAAGCACCGCGCTGTGGCCGCTCATGCGCACTGGGCCGGGGTCGGAGGTCAGGACGAGGGCCGCGCTGGCCCGCTCTCCCCGCGGCTGCCCTCAGCCCCCAGAGTACGGCAGAGCCTACCTGTGCACCCCGATTCTGCACAGAGGCCTGGTCTCTGCCACGTCCTCTCCCTGAGAACAGTCCCAGGGCGAGCACGGAAGGGCACCCCTCCGACCACCACGGTGAGCAGGCAGGCGCTTACCACACCGGAACTCGTCTTCCCCTTCTCTGCAGTCAGACACCCCGTCACAGCGCGCTGCCAGCTCAATACACTTAAAAGACGAACGACATCTGTATTTCCCAGAGCAGTCAAAGTGGACTAGGAAAAGGAGAGACAAGAATGTTGACAAGCAGCCTTTTCAGTGCCCAGCACTGGCAACTGTCCACCTGCCACGTGGCAGTGAGCTTGCCCATGAATAATGAAACCCGTATTGAAATTGCATCCCTGTCAGCAGCCTGTTCCTTCAGCTCAGTTTCTGTGTTGATTCTGGGGGGTGGAGCTGCTGTGCCCCGCTTTGTTTCACAATGAGACCTCAGTGGGGAGCCCCAGAACAAGGGGAATTTAAACTGGCATGGGGGGGGTTAAGGTCAAGAAGGAAAGGACATGGCCGAGAGGAACCCTGACTGGGATCTCCTGGGCACCCTTGTTCCCTGGACTCTAGGCTGGAGGGGAACAGACTGGGCCACACAGCCACCGTGGGCGAATTAAACTCCCCTGTGGTCCAGTTCTCCAGTGGAGAAAATCAGAAATTGTTCGATCAGAGTCTCTTCTGCCCAGTGACCCGCTTTCCCCCGCCACCCCAGCACCTCCCATGGGTGGGACCTTCGTCTCCTCCGCTCTGCTCCTGCCCGCCCCCTGCTGTCTCTCGAGCCCCGCCTGCCCACCGGGGGTTGGACTCACCTCCCAGCCCGATGGCCAGTGCCAGGATCAGCGCGATGATCCCCACAACCACAATTGGAAAGAACTTCAGGGGCAGCAGCGACAGGATCTGTGCGGCCACTGCGTCTGCATCTGGGCCTGTGGGAGCGAGCACATGAAGCCAAGAACACTGGTTTTAAGGAGCTGAACCCCGGACTCAGCTGTGTACCCCACTGCGCTGGGCCAGAAGTCCCCACCAGAGAGGGCTTGCTGGGTGGGGAAAGTCGCTTCTGGCTCACCTCACCCTGTTCCCACCTGGCCTAGACTGTCCACTGTGGGAGTCAATGCTGTGGGCTGGGCAGCATCCCCCAAAAGGACATACCGAGGTCCTGACCTCCAGGACCTCAGAATCGTGCATCATTTGGGGAATCTTCATTTATTTAGTTATTTGTTTATGATTGATTGATCAATCCTGGAGATTGAGCCTCTGGCCTTTGCACTGAGCTGCATCCCCAGCCCCTTTTGTATTTTTTATTTTAAAATAATATCTTGCTGGGCCAGGGGTTTAGCTCTGTGGTGCCGCCACCTGCTTCACAAGTGCAAGGACCCGAGTTTGACCTCTGGTACAAAAAAAAAAAAAAAAAAAAAAAAAAAAAAAAAAAAGGATCTTGCTGATTTTATGTGTCCCAGATTTGGCTCAATCTTGCAATCCTCCTGCATCAGCCTCCCAGAATGTTGGGACTATAGGCATACACCCAGCTTGGAGGATATCTACAGAGCATTCTAGGTAAGATAAGGTCATTAAGGCTGGCCCTAATTCACTGTGACTTGTCGTTATTAAAGGAGAAATTGGGACAGAGAGACAGGCATGCCCGGGGGAAGATGGAAAGAAGGACGGAGGAGCAGACGGACCGTGGAGATGAGGACTGAGGACAGAGCGTCATGTCTGCCGTCCCGGGACACCAAAGGCGGTTCGCAGATGCCCAGAAGCTGGGAGAAGCTGGGGATGTCCCCGCGGGGGTGCAGTGGAAGTGGGGCCCAGCCACACCTCAGGTCCAGCCTGTCTCCTCGAGCTGAGAGAGAGGAAAACTCTGCTGTTCTAGTCACCCGCCTGGTGGCCCTGGGTTCCTGCAGCCTGCGGACACTGGTCTCTTCCAGTATGTTCATGTATTTAATCTACACCCAGAGGCTGAGGCAGGCAGCCCTCTGCTCATTAGGAGGTGAGGTCTGTACACAACTCAGCAAGATGTTGGGGAGAGGAGGTAGGTGCACCCCAACCCAGGAGGGGCGATTCAGGAGCCCTGTCCCCTTGGGCCACCTCACCTGTGCCTTCAGGATTGGAAGCCACATCATTAAATTCAGGAAAGATCTTGAGCATCATGGCCCACGTGTGTAATCCTAGCACTTGGGAGGCTGAGGCAAGAGATTCTCCATGAGTTAGAGTGAGCTCAAGACCAACCTGAACTACATGATGAGACCCTCTCTCAAAAAAACAAACAGAGTAATATAAGAAGGATGTGGCCTGCAAAGGGAGCAGACCCCTGATGGACCAGGGGGACAGCTCAGAAGATCTCCCTGCCTCTGCTGTCAGAAGTCAGAGCTTCAGTCTCTGCCAACACTGAGAGGGGTCAAAAACAGCTGGGGCATCGGAAGCTGCCTGCGACAGAGAAGTCAAAGACAAAGGGACGGCCAAGGACTGATTGTCGCTTCCACTGTGCTGCAGGGAAGGCAGCCTGGCCCCCACTAGCGGCCACTCGGGCACACAGGTCAAGTTCCGTCTGTGTCCACCTGGAAGGGACACCAGCAGGCCGGAGCGCGGATGAAATGTGTGACTCAGGCCCCTACTTCCGGGAATCCACCCTAAAAGGTGTCACAGATACATACACAAATTTCTACCCACAGGGACACCGAGAGGAGTGACATTTATAATGGGACCAAGAAGTGGGAACTGAAGAAATAAGTAACACACGCAGCAGGACACTTAGGTCTTTAACGTGGAGTAGAAAAGTCGGCAAACCTTGGCCCTTTGTGAAGATCCACAGGGAAGACCTTAAACTTCAGAGGCCGTCTGGCCCGTCCCAGACACGCAGCTCTGCTGTTGTGGCCTGAGCTCAGCGGACGAGGATATACACCAGCAGGAACGTGTCCCAAGAAAACTTCATTTAAAAACACAGGCAGCGGCCCAGATTTGAGAAATATTTAATACCATGGAGAAAGGAACTTGACGGTAAGTTTTTTAAAAAGCCAAATACATAGGGGGAAAAAAGCAAGAACTCCAATAATAAGGGTTAATAGGATTATTCCTGACTAATGGTACAAATGTGGACGATTTTTAAAAACCTTTTTGGTTATCTATGTATTTTCTAAATTTCTACTATGAATGGTAAGTTCGTTGCTTTATTTAAAGTGAAAGGTTTGGGGATGGGGATTTCCCTCAGTGGTTCCACCACCTGCCTCACAAGCACAAGGTCCCAAGCTCAATCTCTGGTACCAAAAAAATTAAAAAATAAATAAAACAAAAGAGGGTTGTCCCAGGGAGGAGGGGGAGAGAGAGAGAGAGAGAGAGAGAGAGAGAGAGAGAGAGAGAGAGAGAGAGAAGGGGACCACC